TGAAATCCATTGTGAATTACTCTAATAATTTATATTTTGTTCATCATGAAGTTTGATTTTTTAAAATAATTTTCAGAATTATTTTATTGTAATGTTCAATATGAATGCCTACAACATATGTGCCTAGGTAGGTCTATTTATACTTACTTCTTTCTTTATTTCTTTCTTCCTTTTTTTTCGGATGGAGTCTCACTCTGTCACCCAGGCTTGACTGCAGTGGCATGATCAGGGCTCACTGCAACCTCCACCCACCTGGTTCAAGGAATTCTCCTGCCTCAGTTTCCTGAGTAGCTGGAGTTACAAGCGTGAGTCACCACGCCCCGCCTATGCATCTTTCTATGCTTATACATTTAAGTCCCTATAGCTATGTGGTTGTTGATGTCAACAAATGTTAATAAAACCCTGGAAGAATCAGTGCAAATAATTAGGAATGTTTTTTTCCTTGAAAGTATATGTTTAAAAAATATTTGTATATACATAACTTTAATAATTAGTAACATTCAAATACTAACGTTAACCAATTTATAACAAATATAAGTAATAAAATATCACAGCCTAATATGCTCCAGAATTCTGCAAATACAAAGCTGACATTTCCAGCTGTGGAGAAAGGAAACCTCCCCCTGCACCTGCTCCTGGGGCCTGCCCCGTCCTCGGTGGTCCCGAGCGCCCCCTGGTGGCCCCGCGCGCCCCCGCAGGAGGTTTGTGTCCGGGCTCACACGGGCCTCCCCTCACTGTGTCTCGCACAGTAATACACGGCCGTGTCCTCGGCTCTCAGGCTGCTCCTCTGCAGATACAGCGAGTTCTTTGAATCATCTCTCGAGATGGTGAATCGGCCTTTCACAGACGCGGCGTATTCTGCTGTCCCACCATAGGCTTTGGTTCTAATAAAACCCACCCACTCCAGCCCCTTCCCCGGAGCCTGGCGGACCCAGCTCATGGCATAGCTGCTGAAGGTGAATCCAGAGGCCGCACAGGAGAGTCTCAGGAATCCCCCAGGCTGGACCAAGCCTCCCCCAGACTCCACCAGCTGCACCTCACACTGGACACCTGCAAACACAGAGACACCCTGGTCATTAACTGCCACACATACCCACTGTTCCCCTCACTCATGTCCACTCGCACTCAGTGTCTCCAGTTCTCCGTGAATTACCTTTCAAAACTGTAACAAGGAAAACCCAGCTCAGCACAGACTCCATGGTTGGTGGTCTGTGTTCAGTGCTGATCACCAAGTGGAAACTCCTGGGAATCCCAGGGCCGGGGCTGCTCTCCCAGAGCTGCAGGGTCAGGGCCGGGCTGGTTTTTATCAGCAGAGGTAGGACCGTATTTGCATGTCTCCTGCTATATAGCAAGCTCTGGGATGAGATGCCTGAGGAGAGGTCGGAGCCCAGATAAGGTGACCGTGCCTTGCAGGTGTTTGGTGACAATGATGG